GTGACCCAGATCGTGATCTGAACCCAGAACTCGAAGCAGAGGTGAGAGTGCCACTATTTGAAAAGGTCGAAGAAGTGCCAGTAAGAGTCCCACCATTCAAAGTGGTTCCGGTCAAGTGAATCGGAGTCGGGAGGCCAGCCGAACCTGCAGGTGGTACAGGATTCGATTGATATGCTGGAATATTATCGGCAACTGGATGTTGAATGGCCGTGTCACTGCGCAATCTCCCAGCTTGCCTGGAAGCAACATTTCTGTCTCGGGTGGGTGTGATTGCTCGGACAGGCTGCAAAGGAGTGCTGAACTCCTCAGGGATAGTCTGGATGGGATGCGAGTTTCCACTGGACATCTGTCTTCTATGGCCCGGGCCCTGTGCGACTCTCACATCCGCCCCAAAGCTTTGAATTGCATTCCTGACCTCAATCATACTTCCGTAGAGGAGAAGCATCAGCGTCCGCACATAACGCGCGTCAGACCCCGCCACTATTTTCTTGACGTTGTCCTGCAGCTGCGCAGTTACGTGCGTGTAGGCCATGATGCAGGTTGCACAGTCCCTTCGAACGCTGTCCTCGACTTTCTCAACCGCATCCGCATCTGCAGGATCGACAGCGTCGGCGTCCTCCAGTGCCAAGTTGAGCCGGTCAACATGAGTGGAAGCGTTGAAAAAGGTAAATTCTAGTGTGCTCCTCCGCACGTCCTTGCCTCTGATTGCAGCGATAAGACCAGATATTTGTGGGTGAATCTGATACAGCGCATATAAGATGCCTTTGGCGCCTTCGATAACGGGATTGTTCCATTCGGTCTCAACTTTATGTTCCGGGAGGCTCGACAACCGTTTCACAAAGGCAAGCCTGTGTCGTCTAGGATCGCGTGGACTGCTGGGGCTCGAAGAGCTATTCCCGCCAGGGGATGACAGAGCACCATTACGTTTCAGAACGGAGCCGTGACTAAATCCTCGGAGATGGCTGTTTCGGTTAACCTTGAGCTCGTCAATACTGTCCAACTCAGGCTTCTCCTTTCGCAGCATGCCCATCCTTTTCTGCCGAGCAGCGGCCGAGGCTTGCAGAACACTCTCGCTGTTGCTCCGGTTTCTCTCGTTATTCTGGCTAATGAGAGGGGTGATGCCTGGCCGTCGAAGAGCAATGGGTTGCGTGTTGGACGTCATCCGATAGTGTGAGCGGGTCGGTACTGGAGGTGGGTTGGCGAGTGTCTGGCTCGGTGATGATTTATTGGCGTCCGCCGAGGACTCGGCACTGGTGGTGCTGGGGATGACCGGAAATCTGCTGCTCAAAGATCGCTTGAGAGGTTTCGGTGTTGTCTCCGTCGGGTTGTCCTCGAGTTGGAGAGACGCTTCAACGTCAATGGGTGTGATGACGGGATGTAGTTCTCTCAAATACCGCTTGATCTCAAGCGTGATGGCAGTCTCTCTTTCGTGATCCGTCATTTCTGAGAATGAGACTTCGGATTCTTTCGCCTCCACAATCTTCTTCAACTTGAACCGCAGGGGATTCTCTGCAATCTTCAATATCTGCAACTTAGTCATCTCACAAAGCTCCACCGGCAAATCCTCCACCCGATTGTGCACGACCGAGAAGACACGTAAGGATCGCAGATTTTTGATGTCGCTTGAGATTTTTCGGACTTTGTTCCTGCTGATATCTAAGATTTCCAGCTGGGCTAGCTTGTACACCCCTCGTGGAATCTCCCGGAACACGTTCGACCGAATGTTGAGGTACCGTAGGTGTGAGCATTCAGAGAACCGAAGCGGTATATGCCAGATCTGATTGTGGGATAACGACAACCGTTCAACCTCGGTTTTGATAAGGTCTACCACACTTTCGGGCAATCTAGCGATGTTGGAGTGCCCCAGGTCCAAGGTGAGTTTCGGCTTGACGACGTCACTGACGGCCTCGCTTCCAGCCAACGCATGTTCGGTATCTTGTCTGGCATCCGCGACCTTTCGCCGAAACAATTCCGTCGTATCTTCGAGAGACAAGAGGGCTGGTTCGCGACCGACGTTGTTTTGTGCCCCCGTCCTTTCCTCCGCCTGTGGGGAAGAATCCTCCGCATTCAGGGCGGTGCCTCCTCTTTCAACATTCAACCTGGTGTGCTCGCTCGCGGCTCGAGCTCTGTCGGAATCGTCATGGCGAAGAGATCGTCCTAATCGTGAGGCATCCTCTGGTCGGAGCATGGTCCGGGGATTGGTGGCTGGGGGCAACTCAGGATCCATGATATTAGAGAGATTGATATCCCTGAACCCCAGCACAGGAATACTGTCAATGGCCAGCATTGAGGCGACGGCTTATACTGCAGAATGTCCTACCAGTCCGCAGCATAGTCGATGCGTGGTATCCAGGATAGGAGGGCGGGCACGTTATTCCAGTTTAACCGACCGAGTGGCTGATTATCACAGCAGCTCTTTTTTTTTTTAAACCATAGGAACCCTCTCTTAGTAGCTCAGATATAGGTAGAGTGTAGAAGAAGTTGCTCAGGATCGAGGCTATCGTAGGGTTGCCTGGTTGAACTGCATTCCTTCAGGGATGGGATGACGGTGGCTTGTAGGACAAAAAACGGGGGGACAGTAGCGAGAGAGGGGTTCGCGTGTCAGTTGGAGGCACTGCCGATCTGTTGTATAGGCTAGCGACAGTGAAGGGAGGCAACAGGTCAATAGAACTCGATAGTTGTGTGTAGAGAGCGCGGGCAGCGACCTTGGAATGTTGCAGGAAACTCGTTTCAATGACTAGATGTTGATCACGATGGATGGGGGTTGCATGCAATGGCGCGCGCCTCGGATTTGCCTCCTTGACCGTTAGTGGCACAAAAGTTTCTCTGTCCCTTGCATGTTAGTGCTGCGGGTTCCGGATCAACGTCGGAAAATCATTCCTGCGAGAGGCTAGCCACTTAGCGTCATTTAGCGTCACTAGGCTGCTTTTAGAGGTATCTCGCTTTCTTCTTACAAGGACACATGCTGTACTCGCGCTCTACTTCAGCCGCCCTCTTGCTGTTCCTCCATCAACCTGGACTCAGTGCCATAACCGTGTAATCCTCCATCCAGGATCCATTGTTCGTTGTCGTCATTGTCGTCCTGTACCCTTCTCCAGACGCTTTTCCTGGCCGTCTCCCGATCCTTGCCCTTGTCCTCATTACCACCTCCTGGTGCTTTCCAAACCGGCCGTATCAGCTTTCCACTTGCAAGCAAAGGATTATTGCTGAAGGCGCCCTTCCGCCCAGTCTCTTCCAGAGCTAGATGCTGATCTTCGGCTCCAATGTCATCATTGTCGGAACCAGCAAGGTCTCCCTTCTCCTGTCTAAGAGCGGGTGCTTTCTCCCGCTCAAACGTCTTCACCAATTTACCGTTCTTGATACTCATGCTCATAACTGTTCTTTGCTTCTCCCACTCTGGCCGGTTTGCTTCTTCCAGCTCTCGAAGATACTTTTGCTGCTTCTTCAGCGCAGCAGCTCGCTGCACGGGGGTCATCCATTGCGTAGTCCCAGGTGTAAGAGTGGCGTCGTAATCAGCAGCCTCATCATGGACGCGAGTCCGTTGAGCGTTTTCTCGCTGAAATGCCAGCAATTTATCTCGATGGGCTCGTGCCCGTGCTGCGGCAGACGAGGCTTCATCGCCTGACCCGCTCTCTGGGGTTGACGCCCCAAAAATCGGTGTGCCCCTCCCTGAGAGAGATTGTCCGGCGTTGTGGACAGCCATTTTCTCGATTCCGCGCTCTTCTTTTAGTGCCTTGATCATAGCATTTACTTGATCTTTCGTCAGTATGGGCGAATCGCAGAACGAGCAAGGTTGAAGTCCTTCAAGTGCGCAGATGATCTTGCCACAATTCAGACAGTTGGGCGCCGTCGTGAAAAGCGGATGGATTGAAGCATTGCAAGGGCATTTTCGCCTTTGCGTGGACAGGGTTGGATTTGTAGAAAGCTCCAGTGCCGCGATTGCGGCAGTGAGGTCCGCAACGCTCGAGGCGGTTGTCGTAGCACCACCCCTGTGCGGCGTAGAAGTGCCAGACTGTGGTTGAGAGTGACCCGTATGCGCGGGCTTCTTAGATTGTTTGGAGCGAACATTTGCAAATCCGAAATCGGATATCAGGTTGCCCGATGCCGAGGGAGGGAGTTTCTGAGCGTGCCTCCCTGGTGACGTGTCTCGAGAGGCAGCCGAAGAACCGGAAGTACGCCCTCCAGATGTTGTTTGGGGCACCTGCAGAGCATCGGGTGTCGAGGACATTGACGGCACATTTTTGTCTCTCGAGATCGGTCGACTGTGAGTCGTGGCGAAGTCCGTATCGCTTTCGTACTGTTTCGTGTAACCACCTGCGACATCCCCATATCCTTCCGGGCGACGTACCGGGCCTGCAGCGTGGAGGGGAGGTTTGCCCTTTCTGGGACCTTTCTTCTGTGCTTTCGGCACCCCAGATGACTCCACGGCGGCCGCTGGGGACTGCGCGTTGCCTCGTCGCGCGTTGAACGACGAGATAAACTCGAGGGCCTGTGGAGAGTCACCAAGCAGGTTCTTCAGGTGTTCGGCGGCGCCGTCTTTAGACAAGGTCAACGAGTAGGCAATCACTTCCTTGAGCGAGTCATCATCCAGAGGCAACAAGCGGCCAAGGCGTGGTAGCGCCCATGACTGCAAGTCACCGCTCATGCTGTATTGATTTCAGCGAGCAGCAATCCGCATGCGTCAATGGATCTTCGTTTCAATTCAACGGGAAGACTCTATGGGAGTTGTAGCTGAGTGGTGCTGGTTTCCACTGAATAATTGCCAGGGAATGGTGATCGTGCGAGAGTCTCCCTCCGAATTTCTCAACTGCGGACATTTTAGCCACTGAGCGACTCGACCTCGAGTTTTGAACTTCACGCTCAGGTCACAGCAATCAAATGCAATGCGATTCATTGACCATTGTCACCGGACCATTTCTTCCATGAATACGAAGCATGACAATGCAGAGCCTCAATTATACAAGTGCCTATCCGCTCTCGGCTGTCTGCTGTATTTGATTCTACAAGGGCTGGTCGGCATTATGAGCCACCAGCGCAATCAGTGCTGCGCCTAAGCCGCTGCCATCCTTCGCAAGCCCGATCCTGATGCGCTTCTCATCCTCTCCAATACCTTCAATCTCCCTGAATGCCTCGCGAATGTATTCCTCGAAGCCTGGATAATACTCTACCAAGCTCCCATCGACACCCACATCAACTATCTCGTCTTCTTGTAGCTTGTTCGTGGAAATGATGACTCCAGCCAGGGCGACAGCGCTTAATCTCGCTGCACGTTTCCCGATCGCGTGCACGAGCATCTTGACCGCAATACAGTCTTCGGTTGAAGCAGCCTCTACCTTCAACTCCTTTTCGAGTGTCTGCTTGGTGATACGCAGATGGTCCGATTGGTCTTCCTCAACAATGGACAGGAACGAGGTATCGATACCCCATATCTTAAATAGGGGACTGTCCTCAGCCACTGTGGTTGTACTCCTAATATCATTGTCGTGTGAGGTCACATCTTTGAACAAGGCCACTCCCGCATCAGGATGCTGGTAGAGACTTAGCAGAGCTCGCCGCAGGATTTCTCCGAGAAACATCCCTGACACGCGCTTCTCAAACATTTGAATGCCGGGGTTTACCGACTCGCGATCCAGGTCAACGTCGTATGGAGTATTAGGCAGGACTGACAAGGCATTGTCGAAACTACCCCATTCGGTGTTGATGACCATCAGCCCAGTAGACGAGTCATAATTCGCAACACCGCCCTCTGCTTCGTCTATTGCCTTCATCTTCTTGACCCTGTCCAATTTCTCAACATAGGCGCCATTTGTCCCGGTACCGAAGATAGCACCGATCAATGTACTTGTCTTGCCCGGAGAAGTGTACGACCTGGCCATCAGAGTGCCGACGGTGTCGTTCACGAGAGCGGCCACTCGCACCGGGAGATTCAATGCGTCGATTTCTTTCTGCAGCAGGTCACAAACATCTTGTCCTATAGCTTCCTCGATGTTGAAACCTTTTGTCCACCGCATCAATTTACCCTTGTTGATGCCCACTTGATTGACAGGAAAGCTGAAAGTGAAACCTAGATCAAAAAACTCGACCTCGCCAGGTTTCTTCCGGTGTGACTCAAAGTGGTCCATGTGGTGTGTCTTCAGGAAGGACTCGATCTGCTTGGCGAGGAAAGAGAATAATTCATGGGCCGTCTTCGCTTCCATCAGAGCCCGCGGAACGGCGACTTTGGATTGTTGCAATGAGAAGGACTGGTTGCCATGTAGCGTGATTGAGCAGACTCGGAAGTTGGTACCGCCTAAGTCCACGGCCAGATAGACGCCCTACTGCTGTTAGCCGAATCGCAATATGGCTTCTCTTCCTACCTTTTCAGTGCCATTGGGAACAGATGTGACGTAAGTTGGGATTTGACTGATTGAGGTCCCCTGCTTTTCCAGGCCCTCTTCCATCTCCCTAATGAACTCCTTCACACCTTTGTTCACATCCTCGGCGGTGTACTCAAATTGTGCAACCAGGCGCTTGGCCTCTGCCTCCAGCGCCATATTGGTCAACGCGTGTGTAACGGGAAGATCTGAAGTGAAAGGAGACTTTGGTCTGCACTGAGTGCCCGGTTCCAACAAGTCAAAGTACGCCTCTTGACGGTAGACACTGTCACCAAACGGACTCAGAGGATCTCGGGTCGGATATGGAGGAGCAGGAGCAGGTGAAGACGCGGGAGAGGGAGCAGGAGCCCAAAGGCGCGGCTGGACGTCACTTGACGTGAGAAACTGAATGAGCAGAACGCCAACGAGGACTAGGCCGGAGACGAAGTAAAGGAGAGGTACGCGTGAATCGGAGAGAAGTTTGGCTCGTGTTCTGAACTGTCGAGTACCAGGAATCCAACTAAGACTCTTCTGCCATAAGGTCGGCTGCTGGACTTCTTCCTGAGCAGGTTGAGGAGAAGCCTGCTTTGCAGATGGCATAAATGCCAGGAACAAAAGACCAGTGAGGAGGGGCACGGGGGCCAACTGCGTTGCAAAAAGCTTCCAGTTGTCAACGAGGGGCGAGAGCCAGTAAGAGGCTGAGAGGTGAGGAGGGTAGGCTAGGAAATTCAGGTAACGTAGCGTAGCATATGCAGATTGTGGTGTGGTTCAATCCAAAACCTGGTGATGCGCATGGGATGGGAAGCTGCTGGGCGTTGAGCGTGAGGAGGCATGACGGCTGATGATGTCGTGTTGCAAAATTTTAGCGGCCATCGGTGGGGACCTTGGGGGACCCTCTAGCCTAATGAACACAGCTGGGGAGCCCTTTGCCGACCTTGGGCGCATGGCATTCTAGGGGTGGGGACTCCCTGACCGCCTGCTACTGGCCCCTTGGCGGACGCCATGACGCTGTTTGATGCCCGTTTACTGCAGAAGACACGGGCACAGGTGGCTCGGTCGCTTGGTATGTGCCTCTGGTGCCCTTAAGGTTGCAAATTCGCTGGGGTTCATCCACATGAGCATGCCAGGTATGTGATCATGTCGCATGCGGATGTTCTCATGCATTACGGGTATAGACTATGTACAGGTTGGAAACATTTTCTGTTGGTCATTATTACTGTTAGTACATCCAGCACAGCGTGTGCCTTTCCCAAAACCGCCGCTTTTGACTGCTTGCCTTCTCGAGGTATAGCATTGTTGTGCGCATGCATGTTGCAAAAAGCCGTCCTTCAGATCCACTGAGGAGGTTGCCGAAGAGATCAAAAACGCCCAGATGCCCTTCCCAAGTCTCGTTTGTCCTTTGATCATGGCCTTTCCGCTATTTTGAACGCCCGAAAAGTGTATGGCACGCAGAACCTCGCTTTCAAAACAGCATGTCGCTAGAGTCATCGTTGCTGGCCTCTCTGTCCATCATGTCATAGTCATCCATAGTCTTCCGTCTTTTGACTTCCATTGTCCTTTGCTCCAACTTGCCGACATCCAGGGTACTTGTGTCGGCGTTGGTCTGCCGCCCTCCCCAAGTAAACCGCTTGATCAGACTTGACCGTCGCTTGGGGTCGGCACTTGATCGCCCAACATAGGTTGAAGATGACGAGGACCGTGTTGGAGTGAAGTACGATCGCCTTTCCGAATTGGGTGTCACTGGGGAGTGAGCTTTGTCTCGAGGCGATGTTCGGCCTTCCAACGCTTCGTGTAGCATGGGGTCTTCGTTGCTCCCAGAACTGATGTCGCTCGGATCAAGGTCCCATCTTGCACTGAACAACTTCATGTCTGGATCCGTGGCATACAGTGTTTTCATGTCGACAATGTCTTCCTCCCCTCGAGGGGCCACGCTTGCACGCCTTTTCCACATATGCCACAATAAATGGTCGTTCCCAAGGACCTCCGCTAGAGAGATGTTCGATTGTTCGCCGGACTGGCTTGTTGACATGGGGATCGTCCTGCCACCAACAAGATCCTCCTGGCTGCCGTCGTATGGTAAGTCGAGATAATCGTCTAAACAACCTTCCTGGCTGAAGGAAAGAGGTGATGAGCAGAAGTCGGCTAGACGTGGGTTTGTATAGTAGTCACGACGGTCTTCGAGAAGCATTTCGCTTGCATCGCTCGTATCTGACCACCAGCCGAGGCCAGGCGTCTCATATAAGCTGTCCCTTCTGGATGGGCTGTTCTCGTGGTCCACTTGATGAATGCCATGGCGTTGCTGCCTCAGCGGATGCATGCGGATGACATTCTGAGTAAGCCAGGTTGGTCCACCAATGGCCCCTGACTGCCTGATTATGCGCCTTCCGTCTATAGGTCCTTCGCAGTCCAGGAGCATTGACACATCACTTATCCCTGACAGGCTGGCCGAGTACTTTCTGTTTTGGTTAGGTGGCCTATGGGCAGCCCTGTTGGGTTCAATCGGGCAGTCGTGTATTTCGTCGTGGCCCTGCCCACCGCCTGTGAGTTCCACATCATGCAACGCATTTGGTGCACCACTGCGACCGCCATTGATACCTTCTGCTGTCACCGGTTCGACGTAGCTCCCACATATATTATCCCGAACCCCACATTCGAGGAACAAATCGACATCGTCGTCTTGGTCGATGGCTTGTTCGTCCGAATCAGGCTCAGGCTCCCATCTGTCTTTCGCTTCCACCTCGGCGTGCCATGGTATATTTAGAAGATGATCCCAATCTAGCATTGATTCAGGTGATTTATTGCTTGGAAGCTGCAGAGGTCGGAGTCTTCGAGCAGATTCGTGATATCGCAGGCCCTTCATGAAACTGAACCAGAGATCCTGCTGCAGGGTCCTTGCAGAATTTTCTCCCCTGTGAGGGCCAGACCCCAAGTCAACGGATCCTCCGAACTGCTGTTGTGGATCACCAGGCTCCGAAAATCCGAGGAAAGTCTCCAAGCATTTGGAAATGGTCGGGATGAATCTGGCCTGCTCTTCAAACCATTGGACGTAATTTGGTACGAATATTGTTGGGGCAAAGTCGCACAGCGAGAATGCGTTCTGATCAGTTAGGCATTTTACGCCTGCAGACAAACGGAGGGGTTTGGAGCATATGCTGCCACGCACGCCCGCGTCAAGGAGGGCAAACAGGGCACCTCCATCCAATAACGGTCGCTGGTCACACGCCTCCTTTAATGACGCCGGTTCATTTGACGAGGACAACTTGGCTGTGATACTTCTCGTTGACATGGGGTGCAGTCGTACGCTAGACCTCTCCCGCGGGTTGGGTATACTCTCGCCCGCGCGATGGCTACTCAAAGGAGAATCCTGATGGCGAACGTCTGGACCATTCCTTCGTTTGAGTGGGTTCCCGCCTGTAAAATGTAGATGCATTCGCACCGAGTCCAACTCTATCGGGGCAATTCCAACGGGAAAGGATGAATGGTAATCGAAATTCCTCTGACCCTGGGGGCCTGGGTTAGTATTAGTGCAGGAGGTTGATAGTGCCCTACACAAAGTTTGAAGTCCAATTCCACGACGCTCTCAGTTTCGGTACTACCTCTGCAAGTCGACCGCGTCAGAGATGCCTCGTATCCGAGCTGCGTCCACAGCTATGTGGATTATGAGCACACCGCAAGAGATTGATCGCCTTGAGATGAGGCTTACCTCAGCGTCTTCAACAAGATCGGCAATGCTTGCGTTAGCATCATTCAAGACGAGTGAAGCAAGATCCAAATCACCAGCAAAAGAACACTGAAGAGATAAAAGAAAAGACCTTGCCCTAGGAAGCCACAGACGAGAGGGACGGGCTCGTTTGTCGGGGATCAAACTGGCTTGAGAAGCATCCTCACAGGTCACCTTGGTACTTGTCGTAGTTAGTAAGTGAACATGGGATTTTCGGTGCTCAAAGACACGTCTACCCAGCTCAATGACCTTCTCATACATCCTGAAGGGCCAGCTGTTGTGCGTGTCAACGGAGAAAAAAACACCGTTCTGTGTGAAGGGAAAGTTGGTGCATCACTTCGGCATCGGCCATTGGTTTTTCCGACTGCGTCTTTTTGACTGATGCTGAGCACAAACTCCGTCATTCAGTCTCGACTCTGTAACGGCAATAATATGCGCAGTCAATGCTGGAGTGGGTGAATGCCCACCTCCTCCTACCTTATAAAGCAATTAAGACCACGTTGCCGCCAGCATGACTCACTTCCTATAACCACCCGGCATGCGAGTCCCAACTTGTCACATTGCTACCTCTCCTCCGCCAATGGCTCGACGTTTCTTCCTCTGTCTCGCCCGGACAGGGCTCGTCCGCCAGACCACCCAGAGGGTGATCCCGGCGAGACATGCCCTCACTCGACCATTCCACTCTACCGTGGCAGCTCGTACAGACGGGGTCTATAAAGCTCTCACAGAGATGCGGGTCCGAACACCCTGGATCGAGGCACTTCGGGAAAGAAAAGAGGCGGAGAATAACAATCAGACGCCGGTCGTGGAGAGTGCCAAAGTAGACCTGACCCCCAAGAAAATGTCGGACACCTATGTCAGCCTTGTCCTGCCTCTCTCTGTTAGTTGCCTCCTATGCGTGTGATGTGATTTCCCTGTGCAGCCGGTTGACGTGCAATCCTGTAGCAAGATCCATGGCTGCTCGATACCTACGCAAACTACACGGGCCAAATCCGCATTGGTACCTTGCTCATGGACCTGGATGCCCTGGCTGGTGTGGTGGCCTACAAACACACTGGGGAAGGGGTGAGCAATGTGACTGCAGCTGTGGATAGGATTACTATCAAGAATCCCATTCGAGAGATTTGTGACTTGGAGCTCAGTGGACAAGTGACGTACGCTACCGGACGGAGCAGTATGGAAGTGACCTTGCAGATCGCCAAAGCTCCAGCTCCAGGTCGTCAGGTTGCACCAGAGGACGTCTTTATGACCTGTGCCTTCACTATGGTGGCCTTGGATCCCCGGACCAAAAAACCCATGAATATCGCTCCCTTGGAAGTCAACACTCCAGCCGAGAAGGCGCTTTTCGCCAAGGGCGAGGAGAACTACAGAAACAAGAAGACCATGAGATCTGCACATATCTTGACCAAGCCACCTGATGCGGATGAGTCGGCTCTAATCCACAAAATGTGGACCGACTCCCTTGCATATGCTGACCGCAACAACCCGAAAAACCAGCCGTCCAACGTAGTGGCCATGTCTAAGAGTACCATCCACAGCACCCAGATCATGATGCCGCAGTACAGGAACCGTCATCATTTCATGATCTTTGGAGGCTTTTTGCTCAAACAAACGTTTGAACTAGCTTTCACCTGTGCAGCCTCTTTCTCGCATACCCGTCCACGGTTCTTGAATCTGGATCCCAGCACATTCGAAGAGCCTGTTCCCGTTGGTTCAGTGCTCTATGTCGCGGCAGGCGTTTCGTTCACGGAACCTCACCCCGGCGGCGGTACTCGCATTCAAGTAATGGTGCGGACACACGTCCGGCCTGTTGAACACCAGGACCAAGAAAGAAAGTCCACAGGCACATTCTTTTATACTTTCTTCTCACCAGCAGATGTGAGTGTATTGCCGCAGAGTTATTCGGAGTTCATGGGATGGGTGGCCGGAAGACGACGTGCGGAGAGACTGTCAGCCATGTTGGACTCCTCTCCGAATCTTGTCCTCGGCAGCCTCCACGATGACAGCGTGACGGAGTGATATGGTTCCTAATCTCAGGTTTACAACCTGGGATGGCGGCCAGTCTGATCCGTGACAAGCGCCGATCCGAGGTTGTGGCTCTCTTGAATGCAGACGTTGCATCTGCATCGTTGATGAGGGATGACTGACAGACACATCCTTGAAAGAGGATTGGGTCAGCTGGATGGAATCGTTGTGGAAGGCGCCAATCTCCCTCTTTGCCGTCTCATTTACTCGAGCTTGAAGCGACGAACGAGTCGAACAGCGCTGCGAGGTTTGAATACTTTTGTACATTCCAAATATTGATGAGCCAGGAGAACAAACACGGACCAGAGATCGCTCAGATTGAGGGAGAGGCTGATCGTACTCTTGTTTAACGTCAAATGAGAGACAGTAGTGATGTGTTGTATTCGAGTGGTGCGCAGTGGTACGCAGCGGCACCCAAGTGCGAAGATCTTGGATAAGAGAAACAATCATGTCCTCATGCCGTGAAACAGCTAGGTTCAACTGCCCTCTGGGTCTTGATCCGCTGGATTTGGTCGCGTCACGGAGGGAATTCCCGTGTGCGAGAAGTGTGGTCTGGCCGTCGAGGTTGGGTCTTGTTGTTCCGCCTCATTTAAACCACGTGCTCACGAGTCTTTCTGTCCATCTCTGCCTTCGTCCTCCTTCTTCCCTCTGCCCTGCACACTCTCCTCCCCGAGAACTTTGGCGCTGCCCATGAACAACGCCCCGACGTAGCCTCCCAAGAACCGCATGTCCTGGGCCTGCACGGCCGTCATCCTTAGCAGGTTCTCCGTGTCGGCCAGGTGCGCGTTGAGCTGGGCCAGCTGCGCGTGCAGGTGGGCGTACTGCCGGGTTTTGTTGGTCGAGGTAGTGTTTGTGGACGCGACGGACGAAGGGCGCGGTAGGGACTGTTTTGCCGGGGCAAAGGTGGTGGTTCGATCCATTTTGAGGGGGATTGTCTCTAAGAGGGATTGCGATAGCGGTAGCTGAGTGACGAGAAGGTGTTGCTTGGTGAGGTAGTAACGGTGTTGGAAATCAGTGTTGGGTTTATGTATCGACTTTCATGTTACTTGAGTAGTCGGTACAGGTACCGAGTTGAGTTGCTCCCCGCGTGGTGCTGCCCCGGGAAGGTGATGCGACTAGCTAACTGCTTTTGGACTGGGTGGTATCTATATCTCCTTCCGCATAAAGTTGCTTCATGATCTTCATACTAACATTATGCCAAATGGCAACCGTTACTCTCTCATGAACATGTAACACCTTCTAGCGGTGAATGCCGGATTTGGGGGCTCCGGGAATTCGGATCATGCTCATGCTGCAGTTTCTGCCCTCTGATTTTTATCCTATTCTGTCCTTCCCTATGCTTTTCAAAGCCCCCAAGAGCGGATCCGCTCCAGCGGTAGACCCGGCCGGGGATGCTGTCTCGCTTGTACCAACTGGTCCATGGGTGATTAGAAAACGAATGATTCAAGGATCCCGACTCTGTTGCCCAGATGCCCCCCTCCATGCGTGTCATTCGACTACGTTGAAATTTTCCCTAAGATCGATCCAGTGGTCAAGTCCACGAGCGCGTGAAATAGCAGCACAAGTCAATGATATCTTATAGCGCATATTCACGAGCGCGCGCTATAATAAACATGCCACGGCCATAACGGCATTAAAAATGCGACCTTGCTCGAAACCTGGTATACATCATACCCACGCCATCGGCAACGTCGTCCTCTTTTCAGGGCACTAAAATAGCTCTCCCCCTCACCTTTCCAGCCGAAAGATCGTCAATGGCTTTCTGAAAGTCCTCCAGCTTGTAGATGGACGTGTGCAGGACCACCTTGCCCTGGGCGGCCAACACCATCAGCTCGGCCAGGTCATTGTACGACCCGACCAAGTTGCCGATGAAATTGATCTCGGTCGAGATGATGTCGATGGTGGGGACATTGATGTTTTCTCCGTATCCGACAATGTCTGTTTTTGTCGTTCAGCGGTCTATTGCACGCAAGAAGGAGGGTGCGATGAAGAATCTCATTGTATGGCAAAAGAGGATAGGGAGACATAGAGAGAGACTTACAGTAGTTTCCTGCTCGACGGAGCATGCGCACCCCGGTAGCGGTTGACCCGCCTTCGGCGACGAAGTCAATCACGGCCTCGGCGCCTTTCCCTCCCGTCAGAGACAGGACCTCTTTGACAAAGCCGTCGTCGTTTCCCGCCTGGACGACGTGGTCGGCGCCCAAGTTCTTCGCCAGTCCCAGAGCATCCGCGTTCCTGTCGACCACAACGACCGTGGCTGCGCTGATGGCCTTCATGACCTGGATCCCGATATGGCCCAGGCCGCCGGCCCCGATCAAGACGACGAAGTTACCAGGTCTCAGGACCCGCGCGGCTTTGGCGCAGGCGTGATACGCCGTCAGGCCCGCGTCGGCCAGGGCCGCCACGTCGGCGGGCTCGAGCTTCGGGTCCAGCTTGATGACGCTGCGCGCCGTCGTCTTGAGATACTCTGCGTAGCCGCCGTCGGCGTCGATGCCCGGGAAGACTGAGTTCTCGCAGTGCACGTCGTCACCGGAGCGGCACGCGCGGCACAATCCGCAGGTCACCAGCGGGTGCAGGATCACCTTGTCCCCGACCTCGAGGTCCCCCGCCACGGCCTCCCCCTTGGCGTGCACCCAGCCGGCGTTCTCGTGCCCGATCGTGTACGGCAGTTTCACCCCGGACTTGTCGGCCCACTGCCCCTCGAGGATGTGGATGTCGGTGCGGCAGACGCCCGCAGCGCCGATTTTGACAATCACATCGAGAGGCGACGTGATTTGGGGTTCGGGTGCATCGGACAGCTCGAGCGGTTTGTGGTAGTCGACCACGCGGACGACTTTCATGGTGGCGGTCACGAGGGGCTAGATATACACCGTGTATATATTGTATGTCCTTATTAGAGGGATGTTGAATCAGGATGGACAATAGAGAAATGGATCATGGACTTTGAGAGGCTGTGTGGTATTGTAGGATCGGTGTCGGACCAACGGATCATCTGTATAATATATGTATATGTTGATGCGTGCATGAACACCTGCCCCTTTTTACTGGCAGCCTTGTCTTGGTATTGCCTCGTACTAATTTCAGGTGAGTTTTTTTCACCCCTCGTTTAGAATCAATCATACGTGCAACTCTTCCTTCTGTCTTCACGCACCAAAATGACATTCCCAGAGAGTCTGGTCCTTGTCCATTTCGTCTTGCGGCTCAAAACTCGGATCTCGCTGCTCTTCCCAACTCAACAACTCAACCCTCACGCGAGGAAAAAAAGTGGGAAAGCGGGAAGCGGGGCAACGTGCAGGACATTGACGTACGTGGACGGATGTGTAGGTGACTCCTCCTCTCCCCTCTTCTAGGTGGTATCGCTGACATGGGTAAGTAACTGAAAGCGGGGGAGGATGTCATGTTCCAATCCCACGGGCAAGATGGTACGAAGGTAGGTAGGTAGGCAGGGACATGATCTACAATCCATCATCCACCATCCATTATCCGCTCCGTGATACAGATTCCATACACAAAAGGTATTCACAGCACATTGACTCGATAATTGCCCGCGTCGTCCAGCACGTGCTGTGCCTCGTCCCAGGCATTGCGGACGGTGTCTGCGTGCTTGTCACTTCTGACGCGGATGTCGCATCTAAATTCCCCGTGCACACAGGTCAGCAAGGCACGCCTCTCTCCATTTGTCGTATCTCTTTATTTCGGGACGTGGACATGGACAACGTCAACGCAGAATTAGATAGGCGGATGAAGGAGGACCATCAGGCTAGGTTAGGAGGAAACGGAAGGGAAGAGGAAACACTCAACTTGAAAGGCAATGGCCTCGCGGCGATCGACTGCGTCAGCTCGTCCGGCACGACCTCGATCTCACGTCCATTCCCGTCCCTCGCCCTGGAAATCTCGAACCCCCATAAGATCCGCGCCATGCTCAGCATCATGGTGCCCTCGGCGACGTGGATGCCTGGGCAGATACGCCGGCCGGCCCCGAACGTCCAGTGGTCGCGGTCGCGCACGTCGCTGGCCAGTGCGGCCTCGCCCATGGACAGGCCCGGGTTCTGGCGCGACGGGTCGAACACGCGCGGCTGGGGGAACAGCGCCGGGTCGTTGTTGGCTGCCCACACAGCCAGCACGATCGTGGCCCCTTGCGGGATTGTGTAACCGTCGATTTCGTCCTGGTTTCGCGCGGCGTGCGGGATCGCTCCGGCAACAGTTGTTGGCATCCCTGTTTGCGGGCAAATTAGCCCGTTGCTCACATCTTGTTTTTGCGTGTGGATAAGGAGATGGATGGTGGATAGTAAACAGGTATGTGCGTACAGCGGACAACTTCTTTCATGACTTGCCGAATATACGGCAGACTGGTGAGATCGCTGACTTCAGGTAGTCGATCGGACGCGACGACGTCGTCCAATTGCGCACGCGCTTTCTTCTGGACATCAGGGTACAGCATCATGGCCTTGTGGAGGTTGGTTGAGGAGTCAGTTGTGACGACGGCAGGAACACAGAACTCGTGATTCACCACTTACCTTGATGAATCCCGCTAGCTGGTTGCTCTGCGTGTCTGTCGCTCCCTCCATGGCGATTCCGGCAATATATGCGGCGGCATGGTCCGTCAGGATGGCCCCTTCTGGCTTTCCCGCCCAAGACTCTTGCGCTCGAAGTATATCTGACGCGAAACCTGTCGGTACAGGGCGAGTCAGCTTTATATTATTGTCCGAAGAAGCAACGGCGCTCGGAATCAATACTTGGTAACGGGTTCTTCCGAACATCGCGCAGCAGCTGATGGAACTGGATCTTCTCTCGACGAAAAATCTCCTTTGCATTCCGATACATGGGGTAGAGGAACGACGGGACCCAGCGCACGATCCAGCGCAGCTGAGGGTACCAGTCCAGCAACTGGCTCTTGTGGACCATGGTGAAGAACCCGTGTGCGTTGTGGAGGAGTTCCTTCATGACGGGGTTGTTCGGGTCCGTCACGCGAAACCCGTACGCCATACTGGTGGCCGCGCTCAGCGTCGTCCTCGTGACCAGCGCCTCAAAGTCGTCGGGACGCTGGAGGAGGTCGAAGCAGAGCTGCTTCGTCTCCAGGTCCTGGTAAGGCGTGTACCGGGCGGCTTTTGTGCTGTTGAGGAACTGGTGGTAGAGTTTCCGCTCGACTTTCCACAGGTCGTCGTAACCTCTCATGATGATGCGCGAGTGCTCGAATATGTCCTGCATGAACAGCGCAGGTCGGTCTGCATAGTTTCCGCTACGCTTGTCCACGAGGCGCTTGATCATGTCGCCACTTGCGAGGACCACGACATCCTGGGTCCCCAGTTTCAGGGAGAAGATCGGTCCATCTGAGAACCGTGTCAGTCTTGAACCATGTGTTCTACCAGGCATGACAACTCCAGAAGGCAATTCCAGGGTCTTACACTCTTGCGCCCATTTCTGATATTGTAGGTGGGTATCCTTCTTGGGCATCTGATGGAGGTTTCCTATTATGGGCAGCGTCGGCGGGCCTTTTTCCTCTATCAGTTCCCCATCAAATCGACTAGGAGAGGGTACACAGCACCTGGAGGCATTTTCGGGCTTCGCTTGCCGATAGACAGCAGTCGAACCAGTATGAAGCATACCGCGGCCACTGTGATGACAAGGCGAGTATCCGTCGTCGTTGTCAGGATAGCCATGGCTTGTCTCTGTAGAATATCTGAGAGTATCTCACAGAGAACAGGCTTACTCTCACTCTCCATCTTCGAGACAAACAGCAAGGTTTGTCTCATTATATCCATTTCCAGTACCGCAACGAAGACGGCGTCCGGCTGCCTCTAGCCGACCTCGCCGTAGCAGTCGCCGTGGCCGTACAGACGTCCAGATATGATGCGTGCATCTCGGATGGATACAGATAGATACCCACACCCCGAACCGAGGGCTGAATGATCGTCTGTATCTGTGTCTGTACCTGTGCAGATGACGCCCTGTGATTGACAGAGTATGCGTGAGTGCGTGTGCCTCACATCAGGCTTCCAACACTCTCCGGCTCTGACTCTGGCGCTGCGTGCCTGACACGACATGATACGACACGACCTGAATGACACGACTCATTCAGGAGGTTCTCGCTGTCAATACACCGCGCGGAGGAAGACGCCGGAGAACAAACGCGCTCCGGAACGAGTACGACGTACCGCACCGCACTGCGATCGCTTATGTAGCTGATCGACTAATTAGCGTCCAAACGACTTGGTGAACTAGTCAGGCGTCTAGGCATCCAGTGGCTAGGTGATGGTAGGTAGGTAGGTATATACTTTTGTATGTCAGACGAGATGCGATGTGATGTGACGATCGTAATCTAGCATATGTAGCATACGTGATAGCGTAGTCGTATGCAGCTAGGTATTCAGCTAGGTGGATGTAGATGGTATCCACTATCTAGGATACGTAGATACCTAGGTAGGTAAGGAGGTAATGAGGTAAGGAGGTAAGCAAGTGGAGGAGGAGATGTATATGGCCTGACTGGCCGCCTGACCGCCTTGAACAAATTGAGGGAAATAGCATAGGAGGATTCTGACTATTAATGGACGAAGGGCTATCTCGCTTGATGGGATTTGCTTGATGTGCTCGATGTGGAAAGAGAAGCTCGGCCTCGTATACAATAGCTCGAACGACCTGATTCATGCTCCTTCAGCTCCTCCAACCCTTTTGATCCATTATCACCACGACTTGATGGTGGTGATGACGACGACGACGACGACGACGACGACGACGGTGATAATGACTGGATATCCTAGATTCAGGTCGCAGATTGAAAATGCAAGTCTCGTGATACCCATCCATCGCTTCCTTTCTACCGGTTCCCGCCGATTTCCCAAAACAGTTCAATAACTGTCCCGCCTCTTTCGATTCTATATCCTGCCACGCCAAAAGCCTGTGAAATGTCGTTATATCCCAATCACCTCGGACACAAAGGGTCCTGTCTACGCTTTGGCGTAAATGTCGGCGTCAAAGTCCAGCTGGTCCATCCGGTCTCTGCCCTCGGCGTCCTTGCGCACCCACACACTCACGCTCGTGCCGGGACACATGAACTCCCCAAAGCCATCCTCACCTATCGTGACCTCTTCATTCTGCCACCCTAGCACATCAGTCCAGATCTCCCCCGAGTGCTCCTCGCCCACGAACATCCTCTTTGTCTTTGGGTCGGCGTTTGACATGACGCAGGCAAGGCCGGCTCTCCTGTCCTCGGTGCCCCTGCGCACGAATCCGAGACAGTTCGGGTCTTCGTCAAAGTAGTCGTCCTGGTCTCCGTAGGCGAAGAGTTTACGGGCCAGCACGAGTTGAGGCAATTTCCCACCACACGCCGGTGGCTCGGCCTGCTTGCCCTTCATGCCGTAGAGATCGCCGTAGAAGACGCACGGGTAGCCCTCTCTCCTCAGCAAGATCAGAGCGTAGGCGATCGGCTTGAAGAACCCTTCGATGGGAGTCTCCACCGTCTGGCCGGGCTGCGTGTCGTGGTTCATGACCACCGTCACTGCGCTTTCGGGCTTGGCCTTCACCAGGCTACTGTCAAACACTTTTCGGAGATCTGCCTTCTCAGTCTTTGAGATTTGCGAGAAGGAATACACCAGCGGCGAGTCGTACAGGGTGAAGGGGTGGTGCATGTTGTTCAGCCACTCGAGCATTTCCTGCGTGTCGCCGCTCCAGTACTCGCCGACCAGGAACAGCTGGCCTTTGCCGAACTTGTCCTCCAAGTTTTTCACCAGGTCGTTTGTGAAACGTTCCGAGAAGTGCTGGCAGGCGTCGAAGCGGAACCCCTTCAGCTTGAACTCGTTGACCACCCATTCACTCCAGTGTATGACATCCTTGGCCACCTCTGGGTGGCTGTAGTCGAGGTCGGCAAACATGAGAAAGTCGGCGTTGCCTGCCTCGTCTCCCACGGAATTGGACCAGTGCTTGTTGTCGCCGAGAATGCGGAAAATGCCAGTCTTTTCGGTCGCTGCGTCGTAGTCCGTCCCCGAGAAATGCTCCCAGTGGTACTTTTGCGCCGAGTATTTGTCGCCGCGCCCGGGGAAATCGAAGCCCAGCCACGCCTCCATCTCGAACGGCTCCCCAATGTCCTTGTTCCGATCTGCGTCACCAAATCAGCCCGGGAGAAATTGTCGACATGGCTATGACTGAGGACTTACCACTCTGATCCACCTCGACAACCCGGCATTTCTCCTTCCGGTCCGCGCCAGCCTTGTGGTTCAGCACCGCATCGAAGTACAGCCCAATCCCCAGCTCTTGGGCTTTCTTGCTCAACTGATCCAGGTCCTCTCGGGAACCCCACTTGGTAGATTTGGATCCCTTCTGCTCAAACTCGCCGACATCATACAAATCGTAAATGTCGTAGCCATTGGCCTGGTCGCCGCCCTGTCCTTTGCACGCAGGCGGGAGCCAGACGTTGTCTATCCCGATGTTCTTCAGGTCTTGCAACGCGTTCTGCAACCGAAGCCAATGTTTCTGGTCGGCAGGGACGTTCCATTCGAAACCCTGCAGCATACAGTAGTTCTCGGGAGTGGCGCCCATTGCGAACAGTAAAGCAGAAGGAATGTCTGTCCAAAGAATATTATGGTGAATTCTATAATATTAAATCGAGGATGAAGATGAACGAGAAGGAAAAGCACTATCTATAAAATACTCCTGGCCAACCTTTGCGGAAGCAGAATCCCACGTTGGTTGGGATTTGGACGATTTCCCTGGCAGAGAACGCCCGAGCGGGATGAGATCATGGCTCGCTTTCCCCCTGCAGTGGTGTTGATGCATCCACCAATGAAATCCATGCAGCTTGTCAACTGGTCTCGGACATCTCGTATCGCGGATGTTTGTGGCGTGTCAGTGGCTGAAAAGTGGCGGGAAGTTTCTGCGCGGCTGAGACCAGATTCGCCGAAGAGTTTGCTGGCACCACATGTTAAAACTATCAGATACATCCTAGCTGAATCGACGTCAATGTGGCTGACTGGAGCCGGATGAGAATGGAAAAGGCACATCCTTTGTCGCATGGCACTTCGGGGCAACAAATTGATCGCTGATATTGACAGTCGGCAGAGATGTTGACTGATATGTCCAGAAGTCTCCTAGGCGATTGAATCCAGTGAGTGGAATACCCGCGGTAGTATTTAAATCTTGGGCTTGTCGCGAAAGATGATGCTGGCCTTGTTGTGCTCGCAGACTGAGAGAATGTCGCCCGTGGCTTTGTCCCTCATGACCCCTCGTATCGTCGCTGAATTTTGAACATCAGTTTCTCATTCCAAACCCATATCGTGGTACGCACCGAATCGGGCTCCTACCTGCAGAACTTCGCAGTCAATCAACACGTTGGCGCCCACCTTTGTCGGCCTCAAGTAGGTGACACTAAGGACTCTAGACACTCCGCCGAAATGCCAAAAGTCTTTCCGCGCCAGAGGCGCCATGGCCATCGTCGTACAAACATCATGGATGAGGCTGATGGCGGCACCTGAAGCATTGCCCATACGGGTGCCGTACATGGGGAGGATGTCCATCTCGAAGACAGCCGTGACATGTGGCGGCCCCGTCGCGCTGACAACTTTGAGGTCTCTTGTCATCAGAGATTCCTCGAAGCCCTGTCGGTTTGTTTGTCAGAACCTGCTTCAGCGAAGAATTGTCCCTGCGGGAGAGAGCATACTTCATCGACGGGCTCCCTTTTGTATCTGTTCATGAATTCCTCCACTCTCTGCCGAGGGTCTTCAATATCAAGGGCAAATGACATGCCTGGCCGCAACATGTACTCTTTGGTGTAGAATTTGTCGGGTTTGGCCATTTTGAAGTCTAGTGGAAGACCGGGAGCAAAGACTCGAGGCGGCCAACTGAGCAAATCACACAAGGGCGAGAAACATGAGGAAATTCAAAGTCTATACATCAGAGGAGGGACTGCAAGCGCCAGCGATTGACCTGAAGCATTGATGCACCACCACCAGCATCGAGTCAGTGCCGATGGTCTCCGATTCCTTCACGGCCACCACGGCATCGATAACATCCTGGTGGTGGCCGGGGAGTTGGCGGCAAGTGCTGCGGGGACAGGATATTTTAGTCCGCCGTATAAGGTTACGGTCAAGTACAAGTACCTTTGCGCCCATTGGAAACGAGTCGGAGCCTCCTGACAGGCGAGCCTCGTCCTGCCTCGGTGACATGATTGGACAATCCCGGCCGACGAGGCTCCCACTTTCTCATCGGCTATCGCGAAACGCGTCTACCGTCTTCTCTCGCCGCGTTCAAGTGAAATTGTATGGTGCTGCTAAAGTTTTTGACATGTGATGCGTTCATGTTGTTGCCGTCGAGGCCTCAACACCTTTCTTCGGCCCGCGCAAGGGCGCATACCCCGCTTCGACTACCATCAGAAAAGGCTCCTCGCGTCGGAGTCGACCTCGCAGACATGGAAACACCGTAGTCTCGAGCTGCCGGTTGGACTCAGTGGGAGTGTCAAACTCGAGTATGCGACGCCTTGTCGACAAGTCAGCCGTCTGTTAACTGTGGTAGTGTTTTCTCTCCGAACCGAACAACGAGAGAAGAGCACGGACGACGAAATCTACTCGTTCACCTCCCTCCTGGTCCCTACATAGGGACAGAGGACACCCCGTCGATCGACGTCCTCGCACAGCTGCGAAATAGCTTCCCACCGTCAACCTCGCTCGTCTCGATAAACTATAGGCTAGGCAATTACATAGATTCCACATCTTCGCCGAAAGAGCCCACATACTTTCCGGTCCCTGTCCACGACGTCGCGACCGCATTCGACTATCTCACCTCTCCAACTTCTGCCTTCAATGCGGGATATTTGGAGGTGCCGAAGATATGTCTCTTGGGGAGCAACATCGGAGGCGGGCTCGCGACAATGCTGGCTCTGACAGAGCCCAATGAAATCCATGGTCTTGCATTGGTAGAGCCAATGGCAGACTGGACCGGGCTGGACGACGTCGTTGAACAGCTACAGACCGTTGAGACATTCTCGACCTCACAAAGGAGGCAGAAGCAGAAGCTCACACACCGCTATGGGGAAGAGAAGGAATCAGTCATTGCAGCGGCCAAGGCAATGATCAGGTTACGAGCGAGTTTGTTTCAGACACCATCCGCTTACTTTGATCCATTTGCCAGTCCGATGCTATTCCTCCGTGCGCCGGGCAAGGACACGCCTCTAGCAAGTACAATAGCGGATCAGTCGATCACTGGCACGAGTCTGGACCAACTCGATGGCTATGCAGATTATGAAACCGCTGACCCTGCCACTGATGACTCGCAGGAATCCAGGCCTGTGATTGATAGGGACAGCGGTTTCAGATTGATGACCACGACACAGCCTCGCCGTCGAAAAGTCCTCAGACGCTGGCCCGCCGTGGGGAACCCTGAATCCGTCACCTTGCCGTATGTGGGGGTCTTCGTGGCACCTCCGAGTGTTCGAGATGTGCACCAGCCGAACTCCGAAGCAGATGATCTTGCCAGGGGTCATGCAGCGCTGATGCGGGCGCAGGGACTTGAGTTGGTTGAATTGATGCGGCGTGCTTGTTTTCTTGGCCGAGAGAAGAGCTTTGCAGAGGAGCGTGTTCAGATTCATGAAGGACCGGATCAGCTGCAGAAACAGCAGCAGATGATGAAGGCGGAAATGCAACAAAGTGCCATTGACTGGGTCGCGAGAATGTTCCTCAGCGACTGACGGACACTTTCATGAAGCAAGTGTGCCTTTCTGCTTCTGGGTGCAGTCCAGCTCATGCCAAAATACATGTTGATTACCAAGATATGAGTCTGAAACCTCCCCACCCAGACGAAGGCAGCTCTATAAGATTTTGGCCGGGACCCGTCTATCCTGGTCTTCCATCTCTTAGATGCAGAGGGTGTATAGGCTGATAGGCTCCGATCGCGGCGCAGCGTATCCAAACCCATAAATGTCCATGAGAGAAACCGCCGACAAACCACGCTGAAAATGCACGACTAGGAGAGAAGCGGGGAAGTATACCCGTTCTTCAGGCAGCATTGACATTGACGCTACCGTGCCTGACCACCTCGACTTCCTGCTCGTGCTCCCTATCCCTATCCACCTCCGGATCCATCTCCTTCTCATCGCCCTCTACTCCCACGCTCACCCTCCCCTGATGGTCCAGCACACCGACCTTCCCAACCTCAGCCTCCCCGACCCCTGCCTCCGCATCCGCCTCCACCTGTGCCTCAGCCTTGGACGCCCGACTGCGCTGCCTCTCGAGATCGCTCTTCAGGCTGTCGAGATACCGCGCCGCCTCGGCCGAGTACTTGCACCGTCGGCGGATCTTGGCGCCGTACCGGTAGAAGAAGATCGGGAAGGGGAAGCACGCGAGCGCGATGAACCCGGGCACCGCCGACGCCCAGTGCAGGCCCAGGCTGTCGTACATGTACGTGGTGAAGAGGGGGAAGACGGCGCCAAAGGTCGACCGCAGGATCGAGTTGCCCGCCATCACGGAGGCCGAGTAGATGACGTAGGAGTCGATTCTTCCCGGACAATTAGTAAATTGACAATAGGGAGGGAGGGGTTTGGGAAAGGCAGGGAGGATAGATGGAAAGGAGGTGGCAGGTGGAAAGGTGACAACATGGTAGAGCCGGGTGATTGACTGTTCCCACAAGCGAGAAGAAGGGAGGTAGGTAGGTAGTGGACTGGAACTAAGAAAAGGGAAAGGTACTTGGAAAACTTACAGATAATTTGTGCAGCACATGAAAATCAACATGAAGCCAATCCCAAAAGGCACGCTCGCCAATATCGGCACGATGAAATGGATGCTCGGGTCGGCCGTGCCCGCGAACCACGCCAGGCCGACAATGGTCACGACGCCGCCGACGATGACGGGCGGCAGACGCGCTTCCGGAGGAGCGAACCCGCCGTGGGCGGCGTGGATGCGCGCGTAGCGTTTGTTGTCGAAGACGATCAGGGCCGTGCCGATGAGGCTGCCCAGCATGATGCCCAGGAACGCGAGGCCTTCCTCGCCCGCATTCCAGCCGTAGCCTTTTTGGAAGATGATGGGAAAAGCCGCGAAGCAGAGGTACAGCGTCCCGTAGATGACAGACATGTATATCTACAAAGAAGCCGTCAGCTTTTCTTCAATACAACCCTGGAAGGTATGTAGGTGGAAAAAACAAGCAAGGAAAAACATACCGATAGAAGCAGCACGATGGGCTCTCGGAAAAGCAGGGCCCACGGCCGACTCAATGACCGCTTGACCACGTTCTTAAACACCAGCGGCTGCTCGATGTCGATCTTGGTCATGTACGTCTTGCCCGTCACCTTGGACAGCAGCCTCGCCCGTCGTCGCAGCAGGACCGGCGCGTACGTCTCGGGCACAAACACGACGCCCAAAAAGGTCAGAATCGCCGCGTACAGCGCGAGAAAGCCAAATAGCCATCGCCAGCCCGCCGCGGGACTCAGGAAGCCTCCGATGGTAGGGCCGATGGTCGGACCCAGGAAGGGAGCCGCAGAAAACACGGCCTGCGCCACGCCGCGATATTTGGCCTCCCACATGTCGGAAAGCTGGCCTGCGGGGATGACAAAGGCCGCCGAGCCAAACGTGCCGCAGAGGAAGCGGAGGACGATCAGGGTCGTGATGTTTTGCGCGGTGGCGCACACTGCCGTCCACATGACATAGAAGGCCAGGGCGATCAGGAGGATATCCCGTCGCGAGACGGCCTCTGCGAGTGGTGCCCATAGCAAGGGTCCTACCGCGAACCCCAAGACCATCAAGCTCAAGCCGAGCAGGAACACCTCGTCGCTGCAGTGAAACTCCGGGATGAGGAGCCCGGCGGCCCCAGTATATGCTGACGAGGCCAACGACACGCACAGTGTCATAAATGCCAGGAGGAAGGTCATGACACACTTGAACCAGATGCTGTAGCTCATGGGATTCTCCGGGTCATGGTCCAACCACTGCACGATGTAAGGATCCTCGGGTAGCCCGTTGCCTCGATACCGGGCTTCCATGATCTTGCCAAAGTCGGTCACCCGCCGTCGCCATGGTCTCTTGGGGAGCGTATACTGGGACCAATTGGTCTGGGTTGGATCCTGCTCGGCCGAGGAGTGAGAGAGGGGTGGTTGGCTATCTTGATCGGTAGTAGTGGTAACATCTCTCTTTTCATCAAAGGGGGCGGATGCCGTTGGGGCTGCGGCTGCGGCTGGGACGGCTTCAGACCGGGGGCTCCCCGGGGTCGAAACCATGTTGCGGTGGTCAGGATTTTTTTCGCGAGCTAATATTGCAAGGCAGAAGATGGCCAGGAGGAAGTGAGCGCTTCTTTATTCCAGAAGTAACAGAGGGACGGCGGCGGACTGATCTCCACCAAACCCTGGAGACGGCCCTCGAGATTGCATAATGTACCGGGTAGAAGCCTTCGGAGTCGCTGGCAAGAAGTCTTTGGGGGGATGCCGAGTCTGCCATTGGGTTTGTATAGATGTCCCTGGACCAAGCGTGCAGGAGGAGGACGACAGGGTCATTTAGACAGAGCCGGAATACCGTGGCCGCGTGGTTGTTGGAGGGAGAAAGATAAACTCGGATGTTCGGCAGCCATCGGCCTCATTATCGTGTCCGACCCCCGAATCCGCCCCTCACGGCCGACTCGGTGCCAGAGGTGAGCATGGCATTGCATGCATTTCGCATCTAAGGTTGTCAATTTTGAATAATGAACACTCGAGGTCCACAGTGGCCTTTTCCCTTATATGGCTTCTTGTGCACCGGGGCCGGTGTTAAGATTGTCAAGCATTGTTGCTTCGCCCTCGCTTTTGATGAACTAAGAGTCTAAGACCTAAAAATGACCGAAGAGAGAAAACACGCCGCCTGCAAGGAGTGTCGGGAGAAGAAGCTGCGTTGTGCTCCCAGTGACGACGGAGGCGATGCGTGCAACAGGTGAGCTTCAGACTGTTTCGACAGTGTCTCTCCCTCTCCCTCTCCCTCTCTCTACCAAAGGCCCCTCCTTCTTTTTGGTGGCCGGTGAAGTGACGACTGTGGGCCACAAAGGTGTGCAAGACTGGGAAAGCAATGTCAAGTACCTGAAGTCAAGCAGAGGAAGCGCAAAGCTCGCTGTATGGCACGCCTGAGAAATCTACCAAAGTTGGACATCCCCCGTCGCTAACATGGATGACAGTACGTGGTCGGGTGGAACAACTGGAGAGCAGCTACACAGAGATCCTGTCGTTGCTTCGAACCCAGAAGACTCTGTGCGACGCCGCCGGGAATGCGACGACGGCTGTCATGTCCAATCCGACACCATCGTATACCGACTCACAGATGTCGCAGAACCCAGAGCTGGTGTCGCCATCTGGGTTCCATTCCACCCACTCCGATGTCACCAGCAACTGTCTGCTTGATATTTCCCCGGAAGAGTGTGAGAGCTTGCTCAACGACTACCGACGCATGTCGTCGAACCACTTCCCCTACGTGCTTCTCCCCGAGGCATGCACTGTCGCGACGCTGATCGAGGAGAGACCAATGCTTGCCCAGGCCATCTTCATCAGCACCACATGGCGGACACCGGCACGACAGTCTGCGTTGAAGGACAAATTCCTCAAGGATCTTGGGGAGAGGTACTTTGCCCGGTCGGAAAGATCGCTGGATCTCCTACAGGCATTGCTTGTATACTTTGGCTGGTAAGGACGGGTTTCCCTTTCTGGAAGAAGGGAACAACGTCTCACCGTCTCCAGGTGCCACTGGCATGCTTATCCCGTTGCCACCCAAGTCTACAGGCTGGCCTCACTGGTGGTGACCATGGCTGTGGAGCTGGGTATCGACCAGAAACCGATGAATGTCACACAGCACGATATGATTGTCAATTCCGGCTCAACCCTCACGCAGACCAACGAGGTGGTGTCGTCAAAGTTTTGGGGCTACGAGGCTCGAAGGGCCTATATCGGCGCCTACAACGTCTCGACTTTGTAAGAGACAAGCCCAGCTGCCTCGTCCTGATCTCTGCTGACTCGGTCTTAGTGGTTTGTTCATGTTCAGAAAACCCTGCATGTTGACCTATACCCAATATCTCGACGACTGTGCTTCATCCCTGGCCGCAGATCCTCAACATCCGTCGGATACCACGCTCGTTCACTATGTCCGGACTCTCCGTCTGGCCGAAGAGGTCACGTACCACTTCGACCACGGTTCCAAGGAGAAAGTGGGCGAGCTCACCGACGAAAAAGTCCAGATTCTGGTCAGGGCATTGTCGAGGCAGTTGGAGGACTGGAAAGCTGCCCTTCCGCCTGGCATGTTCAATATGAGTAAGTTGTGCCTCATTGCTAAAGGGAAAACAAGTCGCTTATCATGTCTCGGGGGGATTTGCAGACCGTATCCAACGCGGATATTATAGCATCCGGTCATACATGCGCGAGGTGGGACTGTATGGGCTCCTCCAAGGTCAAGCGCCGTCTGCGACCCGCGTGTCGATCATCTACGACTGCTTCAACAGCATCATGAAATTCCTCTCGTTAGCTCTCGAGAGCAGCCTCGAAGACTTGGCCGACTGGACCGCCGTCGACTGGCGCAGTGTCAACTTTGCAATCATGCTGTCGACCAAGTCGTCCATCATCCTCGACTCAGCCTACGCGAGCACCGAGGCCTCCCAACGAGCTGCCTGGCTGGACAAGTGTCTCGACACCCTGTGCCAACGGGCTCAGGAACTGCATCGACTCAAGAATGACGATTGCAGCTACTTCCAAAA